TTATGGTTCTTGTGTTACTTTTGAAAGTTTTTTCTTTGTGCCGTCTCCTCATTTAGTTACCTGCTTCCTCAGCCAGCCCTGCCACGCCCATTTACACCTGCACCCTGTTCACCAATCACAGCTGCAGCCACTCGCCCTCATCCTCCCCAGCATGTTTAGTTCAGACTTCACTCCATTTTAAGTTGAGCATCAATCACTTTCGTGAAACGTCCGATCCTCCTTGTGATTATCCTCAAGTAGAGTTTTTTTTTTTTTTTTTTATCCAGCAGAAGTGAAAATTAAGAACACAACTCATTAACACTCAAATCATCCTTTAACTTTAGTCATGCTTTTTGGGGGGATATCAATATTTACTTGCTTAAAACACTATTTTAAATCATCAAAGTTCATGCTCAGTAATCCAGGTAAAAAATCCAAGTCAAATCAGGTCCTCTGGACAGTTTCTTTCTTTATTTTTAATTTTTTTATGAGACGTTTCGTCCTTCATCCAAAGGACTGCATCAGTCCGAGGAGCCACAACAAACTGAGTCCTACAAGCAGCAAACCCACTTACCGTGGGACCAACCAGTTTGATGGTGATAAAATGGTTTCTGGAGCCCGCCCTCTCCTCCATCGACTCCTCTGAGGTAGCCAAAGTGGTTCATAGTGGTTTAAAACAAACCACTTTGAACCACTTTCAATTAGTAATTTCTTTGTATTATTAAACTCTACCTGTGATAGAATAATTTATTCAAAAATAAAATAATGATTAGTAAACTCTAGAAACCTTGTCCTTTTACCTGTTGACTCATCTGATCAGTTTTTCAGTGTCAAACCTGCTCAGCAATAATACTCACCTGGATTCTCACCTGCTTGCCCATTCTCCACCATCTCCTCACCTTCTTCTCTTCCATGGAATCCTGAAACACAGAAAACAAAACTAAGATCTCGGGTCTGTTCTCATTACTAAACTGCTCACTTCAGCACCTGTTCTCTCCCTGCAGTTGTCCAAACCATCTGATTATCCCTGCACTCAAAATAAAGCTTTTTACAAACATTCCTGATGTGTTCATCAGTACTTCAGTCCTTCTGAGTCTTGTTTGAATAATTTAAACACTTAATGTAATGACAATGAACAAGAGAACACCAATAAAAGAAGTATTTATGTGTGTGTTGTGATTGTTTTTACCACTATCCTCATTCAAGTATCTGCATAATGTGACTGTATGAGCAACAATAATTATGAAACATTATGGTGAAACAAAATAATAACTAGACAAATTTAAGTATCTGAGAAAATACAGTGTGACGACTAAAATGGCAGAACATTAGCTGAAAGCTGAAGGTAGCAAAACGCTGGATAAAAAGCTACAAATAGCACAACAATAGCTAAAAGCTACAAGTAGTAAAATAAAAGTAGCACAATAAAGAGAAAAACAAAGCCATCTGAAGCAGCTGTATTTCTACTGGAAGAATTTTTATAAATAAAATAAAATATTTTGAAAATGGTCCTTGCTCCTCATCATCCAGAGGAGCCAGTTAAGGTGGTTCAGGCAACTGGTAATGATGCTTCCTAGATGCCACCCTAGGGAGGTGTTCTGGACATGTCCAACTGGGAGGAGACCCTGGGGAAGACCCAGGACTATGACTCTCAGCTGGTCTGGAAACAGCTTGGAGTCCTTTAGTAGAGAGGTGACTGTGGAGAGAGATGTCTGGACATCTCTGCTGATGCTGATGGAAGGATGGATGGATGGATGGATGGATGGATGGATGGATGTTGTAAAAAGTATAGTAGCTACTGTATATAAACAGAAGTCATTACACACCTCATGAATGAGCTAAACGTTTTTAATGGCTAAAATCACAGTGTCATGTTTCTGTGAGACTCATGGACTAGATGCAGATAGAAATACCATATTTTTCAGACTATAAGGTGCAATATCAAGGAACGGGTCTGTTTTCATACATAAGACGCACTGGATTATAAGGTGCATTAAGTGAAACATAACGGTCAGATGTCAAACTGTATTCATCTCATTCACAATAATCACATAAAATCAGCTGGAGGTCAGCAAGCACAACCAGAATTAATACATAAGGCTCACTGTTGATTTTTGAGAAAATTAAAGGATTTTAAATGTGCCTTATAGTCCAAAAAATATGGTAGTCCTAACTGGAGACATCTCAGTTCCTGTGAAGGTGCAGCGTGAACACATGTTGCTGAATGATTTCTGCTGAAAGTTGCTGAAAAGGACTCATCTCTGAACTGTTAATGAAAGACGAATCAGAGCAACAGCTGAATGAGGTGCAAAAAAAAAGGTAATATTATTGAAATAGAACGAGTTCTAGAAATCACTGAACGAGTTACATGCTGAAAAACGTACTGAGAAAAAAGGATGTTGATGAATGAATGAATGATTCAGAGACATTCGGGTTTTTAAACAAAAACTCACGAGGCTGTAAATCAAAACACAAGAGAACGACGCCTAAATGAGCCCACAGGGAACACACAGGAGACAAATGGTCCAAACCAGGACGTAAAAAATACAAGAAGGGACGAGACGAGTGAGGAAACCCGAGACTGATGGCTATGAGGAGCAGGTGTGAGACAAGTGAGGACATCCAAGACTGATAACTATGAGAAGCAGGTGTGAGAGGAGTGAGGACATCCAAGACTGATAACTATGAGAAGCAAGTGTGAGAGGAGTGAGGACATCCAAGACTGATAACTATGAGGAGCAGGTGTGAGACGAGTCAAGACACCGGAGTCTGATGGCTATGAGGAGCAGGTGTGAGACGACTGTAGACATCCGAGCCTGATGGCTAAGAGGAGCAGGTGTGAGACAACTGTAGACATCCGAGACTGATGACTAAGACGAGCAGGTGTGAGAGGAGTGAAGACACCCAACACTAATGGCTACGCGGAGCAGGTGTGAGATGAGTGACGACACCCGAGACTTATGGCTATGAGGAGCAGGTGTGAGACAAGTGAGGCGACAAAACATGAACGACAACACAAGACAAAAACAACACGAGAGATTAAAAAAAAAAAACGAAGAAAGAGCCGAACAAAGAATCGAACAAAACAACAAATACCATACCAGCTTTATTTATAGAGCACTCTAAACTCCCACAGGACCAAAGTGCTGTGCAGTGCACATAATAAGACAAGCATACAGTCAGATAACAAAAAGTGATTAAAATAATTAAAAGTCAACATCTCAGATGGTATCAAAGGTCAGGGAGCAGAGATGGGTTTTAAGAAGGGATTTATAAACAGACAGAGAAGAGGCCTGTCTGATACTCAATGGAAGGTCATTCCATAGTTTAGGAGCTGCCAAAAGCACGGTCTCCTCTGAGCTTACACTAGTTAGGTCCTACTTAGCCGAGCATACTTTCTGTCTGCCTTATTGACCATGTGTCCTCTGCTCCCGTCTTGTGTTGGGTTCCACAGGGCTCAGTTTTAGGCACCCTCCTCTTCACGCTGCTCCCTCTTGGCTCTATTTTTAGAACTTTTGGGATCCCCTTTCATTGTTACGTGGATGATACCCAGATATACTGTATGTCCCGTTAAAGAAAAAGGACTAACTCTCTGAGCCCTCTGTTTTCGTGTCTGGAGGACATAAAAGCTGGATGACTGTGAACTTCTTAAAGTTCAATGAGGAAAAGACTGAGGTGATGGTCTTTGGAAGCTCCACTGAGATTCCCAATGTAGATGTTGGTTTCTTGGCCTAGTATATCAGGCCAACTATTACAAACCTAGGGGTCAAAGTCGATGCTGGACTAAAGTTAGAAAACCACATCAGAGCAGTTGTTAAATCTATTTTTTTCCATATGAGGCAGATGGCTAAAGTAAAGCTGATTCTTTCTCAGCGGCATTTCGAAACAGTAGTTCAAGCCTTTGTGAGCACTCGGCTGGATTACTGTAACACACTCTATACAGGAATCAGTGACTCATGTATGTCTCAGCTTCAGAGGGTACAGAAAGCTGCTGCATGGCTTTTAACTGGCACATGAAAGTTTGACCGCATTTCCTCTATTTTTGCCTCCCTGCACTGACTGTCCGTTCATTTTAGGATTCATTTTAAATTTCTTTTATTTGCTTTTAAAGCTCTTAATGGACTTGTCCCGCCCTTTCTGTCCGAGTTGCTACATCCATACACACCCTCTCAATTCCTCAGGTCATGAGGAAATGCTCCTGAGTGTGCCGAAGACAAACCACTGACACCCCCCCCCCCCCCATTAGTTCTTAGACAAAGTAAGATATTATGGTCCACTGTGTCAAAAACAGCCAATAAATCTAAAAGCAAGAGGACGACACAGTCACCAGAGTCGGCTGCTGAAAATATGTTGTTGAAAACTTTTAGAAGGGCAGATTCTGTAGAGATTTAAAACCAGACTGTAAAACCTCGAAAATAACCAAATAACAATTAAAACTGAAAAAACAACATTAGCAAAGACCCAGAACCAGGCTCTCACCAGCCACCAAACATAAAACATTTTATTTGTGTCACTGATTTAATTTTTTTTTCTGTTGTGACGTTTAAAAAACTTATATTATGAAGCTTTTATCAAATAAACAAACTCACAAAAATTGTTTTTTTTCCACAATAATTTTATTAATCTGTTAAATATGTTTTTAAATAAAAACAAAGTTGTGTCAAATGGATGTAAACTATATAAACTATATAGTTTCTTTTTTTATTTTAAACAAAATCACTTTTACATTTGTTTACTTCAAATTGAGGAAATAAAGAAAAGTTTTTAAAAGGAGCAGTTTTAACACAAAGCTTTAGTGATTTGTCCTCTCGTCAGTAGGACAAATTTAAAGTTTAAAAGTATTTTTCCATGTATTGTCTTCAGGTTTTTGTTCCACAAAGTTCTGAGTGAACAGAGGACTGAAGGAAGCTCTTTGTCTGTTGTTTCTAAGAGAACTGCCGAACGCTGAGCGTCTCTTTATGACGCGCTGCTGGCTCAGGCTGTTTGGACAAAAGGCTCAGGTGCTATAAAGAGCAGCCGCTGCTCCACAGGTAACACACTCTCTGAGGACCATCACTGCAGCAACAGCAGCTGAGCTGAGCAACCTGATGAGCAACATGACCTCCAGCAACATGAACATGATGGGCAGGGTGAGCAGAACCAAACATTTCACACTAAAACTCCTCATCTGTTGTAAAAATACAGACTTTAACTTCCCTGCTGAAACAACTAAAACATATTTTTTTATTTGTTGTATTCACGAGTTAATTTAGAAAAATCATTTAACTCACTTTAAATCCAAATTAGACTATGACATATCTGTTCTTTAAACACCACATTTAGGGGGGGGGAAACACCTTCCAGTGATAATTTGGCGCTTACAGAGGCTACATGTTAATCACGAGTCAAAACCCAGAAAACTTCATGCATTCAAAGTTTTACTAGATTCTTCCTGACGTATTTTCTCTGCACCTTCAGATCGTCTTCTACGAGGACAGGAACTTCCAGGGGCGTTCCTACGAGTGCAGCAGCGACTGCGCCGACATGTCCTCCTACATGAGCAGGTGTCACTCCTGCAGAGTGGAGAGGGGCTGCTTCATGGTCTACGACCGCACCAACTACATGGGCAACCAGTACTTCATGAGGAGGGGGGAGTACGCTGACTACATGAGCATGTTTGGATGGAACGACTGCATCAGGTCCTGCCGCATGATCCCCATGGTAACCACTCAACCTGTCACACTACAGCACACGTCTCCATAGTAACCACTCAGCCAGACACATTACAGCACACATCACCATGGTAACCACTCAGCCAGCCACACTACAACATTTCTCCATGGTAACCACTGTCACATTGCAGCAGGTCACCATGGTAACCACTCAGCCAGCCACACTACAACACGTCTCCATAGTAACCACTGTCACACTGTAGCACCTCACCATGGTAACCACTCGGCCAGTTACACTACAGCACACGTCTCCATGGTAACCACACAGTTGACCTCAGGACAGGTTGTTGTTTCAGGTATTTTATCAGATTTACTGGTTTGCTGCTGACTTCAAAGTCATTAATTTAAGGTTACTGTTTGATTATTGTTAGCTAATTAGCTTATTATTATCATTATCACCAGTGATTACTGATTATTGATTACTGATTATTGATCACTGGTATGTTTCAGCACCGTGGTTCCTACAGGATGAGGATCTACGAGAGGGAGAACTTCGGAGGCCAGATGCACGAGATGATGGACGACTGTGACAACATCATGGACCGTTACCGCATGTCCAACTGCATGTCGTGCCATGTGATGGACGGCCACTGGCTGATGTACGAGCAGCCCCACTACAAAGGCAGGATGATGTACATGAGGCCTGGAGAGTACAGGAACTTCATGAACATGGGCATGGGCAACATGAGGTTCATGAGCATGAGGCGCATCATGGACTCCTACTATTAGTCACCGTGGAAACAGATAATAAATCAATAAAAGTTAAGCTAATTTAAAAGTTTGTTGTTTGTTCATATTTTTATTTCCAGGTTTATGAAACTCAGAACTGAATCTAATGTTCATAAAGAATCAAACAATGTTATTTATACGTAGACGTGCCTTCACCGAGTCATCAGAACTTTCAAGAGTTAAACACCAAGAACAAAGAAACTACTGGAAACATCAAAACAGTTCAAAATAAAACCCAACGCTGGTTCTACATTCATGTTTTTATTCACCGTTTTACAAAAAATATAGTTTTATATAAAGAATAACAAATGTAAAAAAAAAATCTATATAAATTGGATTATTTTAGATGTTTTAGCTCAAACTGAATGTTAGTGAGTTTAACTGGATTGTTCTTGTTTTTAAATACACAAACGTGCAAATCGAGCCTTTTTCTCTGACAGAAAAGTTAAACTTTAAGTCAACGCCTTGTTCACAGGTGAATCATGTCAGTTTGGCTTCAACCTGAAAAACTGAGAACGGCTTTTTATTATAATGTACTTTCCAAAATGGCTTGAAATGTTTGTGAGGGATTTCAGTTTCCTCAAGTGCGTTGAAGAAGTTCGCTTTAAAGCCACAGGAATTATGCACGTTTAAAAACTTCAGGAGATAATCTTTTTTGTCAGCTATTCATGGTGCCTCAAACCTTTAGACCCCAAGCACCTGTATTTTATTTAGCAATATGTATGTAAACTCTCAGATTTTGGCCTAAATGTTGGGGCTTTAGACACATATTCAGTGTGTATTTTCTCCAAATTTTGTGTTTCGAACTCGCCAACAGTCATAACGCAGTGAGATATGTTAGCATTTGGGTTAGCTCCGATTGAATCTGTTCGTTAAAGACAGACTGACTCAGGGTGAGCGCTGTTAGAATATAATTCTGATGGTTACAACATTAAAATTTAGTATGGGTTAGATAAACAGAGAACAGTAAGGATTTTAGAAAGAAGCTCTAAGATAAAACAGTAGAGCTGTTGAAAATCATATGGGATGGATCAACGAGAGGTGGAGCCATCATCACCCAGAAGGTCAGGTGATCACTGTAATGAACTGTGGCTCCACCCACAGACTGCTCTGCTGTCCTAGACTTTGTCCAGGTGGTGCAGGTGGTGTCTCCTGAATGCCCGCTGGATCACACCAGCTGCCACCTCTTCTTGTTTCCTCTTCAGGGTGCTGCTGATTGGTTCCTGGGACACCTGCTGTACACAGAAGGCAGCTGTGAAGGTAGACATGTTGCAAAACTTGTGAACTTGTAACTTTGATTAGCGCACCTGTACAAAGAAATGTGTACAGGTACTTGTATTTAAAAATTTCCCCTGGAAAAACGTTTGACACAAACGTTTTTGGAATTTTTTGCGTTAATAGCTGGGAGTCATCCCCAACATATGAGATATTTTTGGGGGCGGGTTGTCCATAATTATTAGAGTCAACCCCGTCAGTCTGTTGGCAAAACATCTTGTGAACCACTACATTGATTTTAATGAAACTCTTTTGTGAGACTGAGCATAATGGTGTTTTCAAGATTTGACCAAAACATCAGTTCTCAACAAAAGATGATCTTATTTTATATCTGGCTTGAAAGGAAGTGGGTTGATTTAATTTCTTTATGTGGAGTCTTGTTCTAGAATTGCGCCACTCAAGGTGGCTGCATGTTGGAGCAGCTCTGTTACTTTCATTCTGAGATTTTGCTTTTGGAAACTTTAATTCCTCTTTTTCTGGATGTAAATCACATTTTTTTGGATGATTGTTTCCTCTGGTATCAGATGCTGTGCAGCTGGAAGGATTTTTACTGAAACTTTTTTAGTTTTGTACATTTGTTATGATGCGTAACCATGGCAACAAGGCTATTTTCTACAACCAGCAGCAGCTGATTAACATCTCAAAAGCTCAAATAATATCTCAGCTACGGCTCCAAATCTCAAATGAGTTGAAAGGATGTTCTGTGGACGCATTCTCATCTACCTGCCAGCTGTGCTCGAGTGCCTGACCACTGAGATCCTGGAACTAGCAAGAAACATGGCTCATGACAGCAGAAGGACAGGATCGTCCCTCAGCACATACAGCTGGCTGTCCGCAGCAACGAGGAGCTCGGCAGACTGCTGGGAGGAGTGGCCATCGCTCTGGGAGGAGGTCTACCCAGCATTGGGGCGGTCCTACAGCCCGGGGGAACCGAGAGGCCAGCTGAGTCTGGGTGGACTGATCGGACGGCATCTGCAGCCAGTTTCTTAGGATCCACTGTAGGATGGACCTTTACAAGAGATCCTTCCTGCCTACAGCCATCAGTGTCTATAACATCTCTGAATTAAATGAGGATAACGAGTTACAACAACAAATAATTTCCCTTTGGGATTAATAAAGTATTTTTGAATGGAATTGAATTGAGTCCTTTCATTTGAACAGTTTTTACTTTAATTAAATCTGTATAAAATCAAAAGAAGACCAAATAGAATGACAACAAAATGTACAACATCTATATAATTTTAATAAAAATTAAAAAGAAATATATGAATCTAAATCTGATTTTGAATCTGAAAGAGTTGATAAATCAAATGGAATAGAATAGAATAGAGTAGAATAGAATAGAATAGGAACTTTACAGTTTTGTGGATGCTGAACTTTTCCTCCAATCTGGCTTTGAGAGTGTCCATCTGTCCTGATTCACCAAACACCTGCACAAAAACAAATTAATCAAATAAATAAATAACATGAGAAACTGCATTTTGTGTTAAAATGCAGAAGATTTGTTGAGAGCTGAATGACTGAAGAAAGTTGCTAAATAAGCTGAAACAGAGTTGTTGAAGCTAAAATAATCAGAATTATAGCTAAAAGGAGAAAAATGTAACTAAAAACCTGAAGGGGTAAAATGCTAAACATAGCAACCTAAAGGTAAAAGGAGTAATATACTGATTCATCCATCCATCCATTTTCTTTACCCGCTTATTCCATTTTGGGTCACGGGGGTCGCTGGTGCCCATGTCCAGCAATCACTGTGCGAGGGGCGGGGTACACCCTGGACGGGTCGCAAGTCCATCACAGGGCCACATAGAGACAAACGAGACAAACAACCATTCACTCTCTCATTCACACCTAGGGACAATTTAGAGTTACCAATCAGCCTAACATGCATGTTTTTGGACTGTGGGAGGAAACCGGAGTACCCGGAGAAAACCCACGCATGCACGGAGAGAACATGCAAACTCCACCCAGAAAGGCCCCTGGACCGGGGTTTGAACCAGGGACCTGCTCGCTGAGAGGCAGCAGCTCTACCAGTTGCGCCACCGTGCTGCTATACTGATTCAATGTAAAAATAAAAAAATAAAAAAAAAATAACTAAAAGTGACAAAATACTAGCTAAAAATATAAAAATAAATCCTAACTAAAAGTGGGGAAATGCATGCTAAAAGCTAAAAGTAGCAAAAGGCTATCGCAAAGCTAAAAATAACTAAATGCTAGCCAAAAGTACCAAAATACTAGCTAAGACCTAAACATAGCTTAAAGCTATCTAAAAACTAAAAGTAGCAAAAGAAACAAAAATAGAGCAAGCTGTGTAAGTACGTTTTGAAGGAATTGATGAGGTCCCAGCGTGAAGAAAGTATTTGTAAATAAAGTTAAATACTGTAAATATCCAAAAGTCATAGATCCCATTTCCTGAATGAGCTGAACATTTTGATGCTTAAATTAATCAAATAGCAGAAGTTGTTGTGATTCAAAAAAGCATAAAGACGCACAGTGTGACTGCTGACTCAGCATTAACATAATAATAACAATACCAGCAAATGATGAGGTGATGTCACCTGTGTGGTGAGTGCTTTTAGCACATCCACGCAGCAGATCTGGTCTCCAGGAAGCAGAGGCAGATCCATGTGGACCAGTCTGATGGTGTTCGGTTTGGGGATCTTCAGAGGATCCTGGAGTTCATCACAGAAATCTGACAGCTGGCTGTAAAACATAAAGAAGTGTATTAGAGTCCACCAGAGGCTGGAGAAACTCCCTGGAGGTGAAGCTTGTCCTCAGGATTGACCCATCACCTGTACTGTATGACCCGCGAGGCATCCAGATCAAACTTCCTCCAGGCGTTATAAAACATCTGCAGGTGCTCGTCACTGAGCAGCTCTTCTGGTTCCCTGCTGCTGAAGCTCTCCAGGACGACAGCGATGAAGAGGTGGACGACCAGCATCAAATACAGGAGGATGTAGGAGGTAAAGAAGGCAATGCCCGCCATTGGGCTGCCGCAGTCCGTGTCCAGGTCGCAGTCTGGAGGCGTGTTCATGATGGGACTCAGCAAACCGTCCCATCCAGAGGAAGTGCTGACGAGAATCATGCTGATCATGCTGTTCCCGAACGTCTCAAAGTTAAACATGTCATCAATCATCGCCTCCTTCTTCATGTAACCAAAGATGTGCATGCCAACGTAAGCATAGGTGTACGTAACGAGGAAGAAGAGCAGGCCTATGTTGAGGAGAGCAGGAAGTGACATCAAGAAGCTCACTAGCAGCTTCTGTATCCCTCTGGCCCAGTGACACAACGGGAGGATTCTACAGATACGAGCCAGTCGGAGGACGGGGAGGAAACCTGGACTGATGAAATACTTGGATAACAGGTCGTCGATGATGATACCTGAAACAAACCGACAAAGTTTCTACCACTTTCCTTTCTGGTAAAATGTGATTTGTAACCCCCACCCCCATGACTGCTGACAACTAGTCAGCAAACAGGCTTTACAAAAGAGTCTCTAAATGTCTTGAAATGTTTGAGGGAAATTTTATTTCCTGGCATGAGTCGCAGAGGCTTGAAATTAGAACATGTTCAAATGTGAGTCAAGTTTTCTGCATTTTGCAGTAACCAACTTGTCTCGAGAGCGCTCAAGCTGTATGGAAGCTCTCCTGTGACAAAAAACTGTTAAAGCTTCAGAAAGAAAATCCAAGTCTAAAATCCACTTCAGTGATAAATAATGACTTTTGAACAACTGGCCCAAATCTGTCTATCTTTGTTTCTAAAGTGTATTCCAACAGATTTGTCATAAAAGAGGGGGGGATAAAATGCCAAGTTGGATACAAAACGAGCCAAAGCAGGCGTAGGAGGGCATGGCCTAGAACAGAGTTTAGCAAGACGTGCACACAAAAATAAGCTGTGATTTATAAAAACTGGCTACTCAAAACACATTGCATGGTTCACTGGCTGCTTAGTCACAAACACTCAGAATTTAGTGTGACTGCAACAGAAAATGTGCTTATTTTTTTACAGCTCTCCAATAGTATCCAACAGTCGTCACCCAGTGGAATACTGCCTTCACTGAGTCATTAAATTTTGACATGGCAACCTAATTTTTGAAAGGAAACTTCCTTAGATACAATCAAACACCAATAAGGAAGTCGGTACCTCGCTTATTTTTCAAGTTATCGAGCTCAAAACATGAGTGGACAGACATACGAATGGAGGGCATTTCCAATTACCCGTTTTCGCAGCAACGTCAGACAAACAACTACTGACTTTAATTAAAAAAAACTCCTCTGCAGATAGGAGATAATGTCTTGAGATGATACCATCTACTGAAGACTCACCTAAGGTCACCAAGATGAGAATCACAAAGTCCATGATGTTCAAGCCGAAGCTGAAGTAGTGTTGTCGGAGAGCAACAATCTTCAGGATGAATTCAATGTAGAAGAGGATGATGATGACGAAGAAAATCCAGACCATAACCATTTCTATCTTCATGGACTGGTCGTCAGTCTCCACCATCATAACCACCACATATACGCAGATCAACACCATCACCACAATCTCAAAGATCGGGGAAGTCACCAAGTCAAAGAGCCTGGCCTGGCACTGGTTCTGGTGATAGAAAGAAGACAGCGTTTCCAAATCAGATGGTCAGTAGTTTTCACTGACTTGAGACCAGAAACCAGAGAGGGAAGTCTGGTACCAATATGAAACTAGAACTCTGACAAATTATAACTATCCGACAGTAGTTTGGACATGATGGAACGAGTCAATTATGGGATCTGGTTGGTCCCACAGAGCCCAGAACAGACACAAATCTGATGGAGTGAGATGGTCTGAAAGGAAGAGGTGTGTTGTAGAGCAGCTGGCAGAGAGTTTCTGGACTGAGTTGTTTAAACAGAGTGTTGGTTTGAAGGGTCAAAGTTCACAGGGAAAACATTTGAATGCTAGAGGTTAAAGGTCAAAGGAAAATCATCTGAGTGTCAACCTGGCCTCTGACCCAAACACACACCTGAACTGAGCCATCAAGCTTGAACTCACCTGTGGTCGTGGAACAGCTTTCTCAGGTGTCTTGGAGAACATTTTCCTCACAGTTCCGTGGAATTTCAACTGATCATTCGTCATGAAAACATGTTTTGCTCCAACGTAAAGACAAATAAAAAAACAGTGTAGAAGAATTAACTGAGAGATACAAAAACAACATGAGCATGGAGAATCTCTGCTTCAGATCTGCTGGGATTTCATGACCATGGTAACTATAGGAACCACTCTGCCACACGATACCTTTAAGAACAACTCTACCCCATGGTAACTATAGGAACAACTCTGCTCCATGGTAACTATAGGAACTACTGTACCCCATGGTAACTATAGGAACTACTCTGCCCTGTGTTATCTATACGAACTACTCTGCCCTGTGATAACTATAGGAACTACTCTGTCCCATTGTAACTATATAAACTACTCTGCCCCATGGTAACAATATGAACTACTCTGCTCTTGTGGTAACTATAGGAACTACTTCACACTCATGGTAACTATATAAACCTCTGCTCTCATCTATAGAAACTACTCTGCTGTAGTAACTACTGGAACCACTCTGCCCAATGTTAACTATAGGAATTTGTGTCCTATCATTACAACTATGCTGCTGTCATAGCAACTGTTCTGCCTCGTGGTAACTATGGGAACAATACTCTGTCCTGGTAACTATCTGAACAACTCTGCTCCCATGGCAATTGTAGGAATTACATTGATGTCTTGATAACCATAGTAACCAAAGTGATCTTATCTTGTGTCTATATTGGTGGAGTGCATCAATGAAGGCTTTAATGAACAGGATGGAGGTGAAGAAGCAGCCGAAGATGATGAAAAAGACGAAGTATAGGTACATGTACTGATTGGACTCATACACTGGCTGTAACTCCACCTGCAGACACACATACACATACGCAAGCCAGAACGGGTACTGGTATCAGTGTCAGTACCAGCACCACTAGCAATAATGGGACTGGTAACATCAGTAGCAGTGCCAGTACCAGAAAATGTACTGACCTCTCTGGAGTCCACAGCTGAGTACATTATGTCCGGCCAGCCTGTTGATGTTGCCTGAATCAATGCAGAACTTTATTAGAAAACTATGTAATTCCATTAATTGTAAGTTACTGCAGGATTATTTCAGAACATTTAAAATGTTGGTTTGATGTCAAGAATAAATATAATTTCAGTCAGGATAAATCATAATGTTCAAGTGAGCATCAGCAGTTAAACTGCTTACTTGGTAGCAGCATTTCAGCACCACACAGTAAACGTTTTCCTGTCAAACATTATGCTGATGACATCCTGTTTTATTTGGTGACTAAGTTTAATGAAATTGATGAATGTTTCATGATTTTATGGTGTAAATCTAACACTGACCATGATCAGCAGAGAAAGGAGACCCATCCCCACGTTGTCAAAGTTAAACTTAATGTTCTTCCAGTGGACCTCAGTAGAATTTAAAGAAAGGGAAAGACACATGGACTTGTTTTCCACCAGAAACTCCGGAGCAAATGTTCCACTCGTCGTATTGAAGCAGTGTGCAAACTTTCCTGCAAACAAGTTCACCCCCAGGATGCTGAATATCAGCCAGACAAACAGAATAACCAGCAACGTGCTGCACATAGAGGGGACACTCGCCGCCATCCATCGCAGCACCATCTGCACAGAAAGATAGGTGGAGGTGAGACAGGTGTTTCATGAAGACACAGCAGGAGCATCTGGGTATCTATAAAATTCCTAAAGGTCTACACTACAAACAACACAAAAACAAATATCACAACACAGCATGCAATAAACAAACAAGGACTAGCATAACACAAAACACCAACACATATAAAAAGTGGTAAAAATCCCTGAGAAAAAGAAATGGTGTGGGTGGGGCTTAACTTTATACAGTTAAATACATGGGGAATAGGACTTTAAAGAAATAGACAACTGCCTGTCTGTCTCACCTTTCAGTCTCACCTATTTGTCTATAAGTCTCACCTGTCTATCTCACCTTTCACAGTCACCTGTTTGTCTTGTTTGTGTGTCTGTCTCACCTGTCTGTCTCAACTTCTAGTCTCATCTGTCTATCTCACCTGTCTGTCTCACCAGTCTGTGTGTCTGTCTCACCTGTCAGTCTCAACTCCTAGTCTCATCTGACTGTCTCATCGGTCAGGCTCACCTTTCTCATGTATCTCATTTGTCTATGATTGTCCCAGCAGTTTGTGTGTCTGTCTCACTTTTTTGTATCACCTGCTTCTGTGGGTTTTTTTTTTTCACCTGTCAGTTTCATCTGTCTCACCTCTTTGTGTCTTTAGAATTCAAAGTGCCTGTCTTACCTTCATGCCTTTAAAGCGAGACAGGGCCCTCAAGGTCCTTACGGCCCTTAGCGGTTCCGTTGAGTAGCCCAGCGAGTTGAAAATCAGACAGAACAGAGCCACCTGGAAGGTAAAACACACCTGCTGATGACATTGTTCTACAGGTAAGCTGGAAGCAGCAGATCTATGAAGAGCAGCAAGGAGGCTGCTGATGTGTTGACGCCTGGTGATCACAACATCTGCCACCAATGTCTTCTTCTGTGGTTTGTTGACCACCCGTGTTTCTTTGGTCTGTGTTGGTTTATGTTGGTCTGAATTGGCTTGGGTTTGTCTGGGTTGGTCTGGATTGGCTGGGGCTAAAATACCATTTTCTGTCTAACTTTGTTTTCTGTGGTATTTCTTCCTAATAGATCAAGCTAAAGAAATGAACTTTCTCACAGGCTGCTGGTACCAAACCAAGAGATCCAAAAGTCCTCTGGAGCAGATTAGGTGAGCACAACTAAACCATTGTGCTGTTCCTTCAGCTGTGGTTTTTATACCAATATAAAGCTCCTGGTGTTAAATGACCAAATAGGTAAGGAAAAAAAACTAAAATAAGATAAAAATAATAGTAAATGGGTAAAAACTGATCTCAGTATTCTACAGGTTCTGTGTCGAACAAAATTACAGTTACGGTTAGTTAGAATACAGCACAGGGTTGAGTTAGATTTAATATATATAGTTTTCTTCTGCGCACATATCAATCTTAATGCGTCGGTTTCTGTTAGTTATCATTCGGTTACCACGAATCTGTATCGATCACGTTCTTACGTCTAAGACGATGAAGTCGAGCCAACACCAGAAGCTCCTGAAGTACTTTTTGAACCCGAGGGCGATCCATTTGAGAAGCATCTCCATCAGAAATATGTAGGTGAACACCTGGTCTGCTATGTCCAAGACCATCTGCAGGATTGGACGATGCTGAGGGTTGATGCTCTCGAACATCTGTCCACAAACACAGTCATGGTTTCACCGACAGTGTACAAACACCAGATTATCCATTCATGAACGAAATCGGCTCTGTGAAGACAGACCTCTGTGCTTACAAACAAACATATGTTCAATACAACAACATTTATGTATTTTTTGTTAATAATAAATGTAAAATAAATTTCCTATTTTTACTTTTTAAAGTTCTTATAAACTTTTACACAGATTCCTATTTTAAACCACAGAAATAAGCAAACCTTGGCTGCTGAATGAGGTCAGAGGTCAAAGTTAAAAACATCCCTCTGAATATGTTCAGGTGTAAAGACCGAAACTGAACAAAAACGCAGCCAAAGTTTAAACAAAACTTTCAAAGACCTTCAGAAAGGCAGAAGAACTGTTGATCCAGACAACTTTGAAAGATTACAGGAAAGTCTGGCTGCTTTGAAGCAAAATATATTAAAAAACAAGGACTGTGTCAGGGGTTCTGGATCAGGGGTTCTGGATCAGGAGGACCGTATGAACGGTTGGTTCCTAGTTACAGTTACCACTCTGTTAACTGTGCAGAAGGTGAGGACTTGTTTGAATCAGTAGGGAAACGCCCAACACTGTACACTGGTTCTGAAGGTCCAGTATGTACACTTGAGCTGATGTTTATTGTCGTTTACATGTTTGTATCTACCAAGGCGGCGATGCTCAGCAGGATGACCAAGATAATGAATGCCTCGAAGAATCTGTGTTGAACGATGAGGAGACAAGCCGTCCTGAACTTAAACCAGACCCTCCCTGCACCCTGGGACGTGTCTAAATCCTGGATTGCACAGCAGCGATAACAACCTGAAACACAGAGCAATGGATTCCCGATCAACTCACGCTGTTCTGATCGTGTCTCAGAAACATGGGATGTTATTGTGGACAGAATGTGTTTGTGTACGTACATTCACAGCAGCAGTCCTCAGGTTTACTTCCTGTTTCAGGGTCTTTAAACTCCTGGACGTCTTCACACTAAAGGAAACATGTTCAACAGATTCACACGCTCAGAAAGAGCCTAACATGTTTCTGTTAAATATAAAAAAAACTCTTGAGTTCTTAAGTCTTTTTGCTGATGTTTTGATTTTTCGTCACCCTTAAAGTGACTTGAATGGCAAAATGAAAGAGCAGTCTCTTTTAATTCTTGGGTTTTACATATCAAGACATAAATAAATTTGATCTTGACCATATAATAAAATTTGATAAGTTCTCAAGTGAACAAAAACACACAACAGATTTCACCGTTTCATTGTTTATTAAACATAAACAAAGACTTAAAGCGGTGGCGCAACTGGTAGAGCTGCTGCCTCTCAGTGAGCAGGTCCTTGGTTCAAACCCCGGTCCAGGGGTCTTTCTGGGTGGAGTTTGCATGTTCTCTCCGTGCATGCGTGGGTTTTCTCCGGGTACTCCGGTTTCCTCCCACAGTCCAAAAACATGCATGTTAGGCTGATTGGTAACTCTAAATTGTCCCTAGGTGTGAGCGAGAGAGTGAATGGTTGTTTGTCTCGTTTGTCTCTATGTGGCCCTGCGATGGACTTGCGACCCGTCCAGGGTGTACCCCGCCCCTCGCACAGTGATTGCTGGACATGGGCACCAGCGACCCCCGTGACCCAAAATGGAATAAGCGGGTAAAGAAAATGGATGGATGGATGGAAATACTTAAAGCTGTGAGTTAAAACTGGTTTCAGCCTCACTGCTTCCACAGGATCTCAGGATCAGTCAGGAGCTGCTGATTACCTGATCCTCATCAGGAGGTTCTGCTGCTCTGGAGCATACAGGTGTGTGATAACACAACACCAAAGTGGAAAGACATCAGCAATGACCTCAGAGAAGCAGCTGTTGCTGCCTGTCAATCTGGGAGGGGTCAAAGGTCATTTAGAGTCCATCATTCTACAAAAATAACGACTATTCACAAGTGGAAAACATTTTAGACAGTTGACAGTCTTCACAGCAGATTCACCCTGAAGGTCCGACTGTACAGTGCTCAGAGAATGAGCTCCATATCCGCTTGTACAGGCCACTGTGAGCAGGTCAAAGGTCAAGGCCTCTTCTCTTTAAAAACAACATGACAGCACAACTGAGGGAACCACAAGACATCTGAACCAGAACCAGACCAAAGGACAGATGGTTACTGTTAGGAAAATGTGGTCAAGGTTTATGGATGTTTTTAACTACTGTGGCTGAGAATGTTAACTGCCCATGAACCATGTGTTTGAGTTAGCAGAGTTCTTTTCTCTCTCAGAGAGAACTGAATGAGGAGCTGATTATACTGCATCCATGCACAGCTGGCAATCCAAGGACACCAGTCTGTCTGTGAGCTGATAAGCATATAAAAACAAGCCTCGCACACTGCACGTGGCAGATTCTCGTGACCGGGCTCAATGCATGTACATTTTTGTACAACTGTGCAATCTGTTGTGAAAATCTGTCCTTGCAAGTAAAACCGGTTAAAAATCTTCTCCTGTCATCGAATGTGGCTTCTTTTGAGTAAGTAAGATGAAGAGAGGATATTTTTATCCAACATGTTCTGATGAGTAAAACCCAAGAAGTGGAAGTGGTTGGACTTTCTTTTAACCATGACTCCGCCCACTTTATCGAATTTATCTAGACTTTGATCTGCGTTACAGAAATGTTTTTAATTTTGTTAAAAACAAACAAGTAAAACTGGATTTACTTGTTTTTGCTCTCCTGTTTTAACCAGGGCCTCATCAGCCGGGCAAGGTGACACAACACAGGAGTCCTTGGTCTGGTTGCCATGGCAACTTTCAAGGTTCTGCTGGTCTGAGGTGACGGTTCTTAAGGCCAATTGTTCCTTCCTGCCGTTTTCTTCAGCTGCGAAACAATGACAGATACAAGCAGAGAAGTTCCGATGTCACCTGCAACAACAAGCGACAACAGATGGGAACAGAAGAACTCACTCTCTGAACTGGTTTGTCCCTTCAAGGTCCTGAATCTCGCCAGAATCCAGGTCTTGGTCCACTTTGTGATGGTTTCTTTTCCTACTTTGGCTGTCAGTCTCTCATCACAGAATGATGTCAGCAGCAGATTCAAGAACAGTGTCAGGACCTGGAATGAAACCCAGAACTCCATGATGACTTGGAACACGACAGACCTGGACCAAGATCAGATCCAAAGACCAGAAAGTTCAGACTTTTTAAATGTCCTGGTGTTTAATAGATGAAGTGACTGGTTGAGGTCACCTTACTAAACCTTTAAAATCAAAGTGAGTGTGGGTTTCTGGGTTTGGAACTCACCAGCAGGTTTCCGGTGAACAGAACCGTCATGTAGAAGATGACACAAACGGTCTGATTTGACACCTCCATGCAGTCCCACATGGTTTCAATCCACTCGCCAAACAGGACTCTGAAGACCAGCAAGACAGCGTGGAAATGGTCGTTCATGTGCCAGCGAGGAAGTGTACAGTCAGTCGAGATCCTACAGACCAAGTCCTGGTAGTCCCTTTGGAAGAGCTCCATACTGACCACGGCGAACATGAAGACCACAAAAACCAGAACCAGACCAAGAAGACTCACTGAGGACCATGCAATCCTCATCAGTGCACGCAGTGTGGACCACCACCGACCCAACCTCAGGGCTCGCAGCTGTAAAAACAGAGACATGTGTAAGGACAGGTGAACACAGTTGGGGACAGATAAGGACAGGTAGAGACTGATGCATAAAGGTGGTTATATAAGAACAGGTGGGGACAGATGAGGACAATGACAGCAGGTCAGGACTGGTGGTGACAGGTAAAGACAGGTGGGTACTAGTGTTGATAGGCAAGACAAGGTAAACAGGTAAAGACAGGTGACAGCAGAGGAGGACAAGTAAGAACAGATATGTTTTGACAGGTGAGGATAGATGACAGCAATTAATAACGAATGTGGGCAAGTTGGACCAGGTAAAGATAGAAAATGACAAGTGGGGACAGGTAAAGACAAGTAAAGACAGATGTTAACTGGAGTGGTCAGGTGACAACAGTTAAGGACAGTTGAGAGCAGGTAAGGACAGGTGGGGCCAGTAACAACAAGCAAGTATAGGTAGGGATTAATAAGTACAGGAAAGGACAGATGTCAACAAGTAGGAACAGGCAGGTATAGACGAAAACCAGTAAAGAATAAAAAGGACTGATGGGGACAGGTAAGAACAATTAAAGACGTGTCAACACTTGAAAAAATGTGACAACAGGTTAAGAAAGATGAAGACCGGTAAGGACAGGTGAGGGCAGGGGATGACAGGTGTCAACAGGTAGAAGGATAGGTGTGAACATACAGTAGGTGAGTACTGACAGGTGAGGACAGAAAAAATGCAACAGACGTGACTTTATTGATATTATGATGACAATGAGGTTGATGATGTAATCGTCTCACTGACCAATTGCAGAGAGCGCAGCATGGACAGCCCCTGCACTCCTTCCAGTCCAACATCCAACAGACCGAGGACAACGACAATGAAGTCAAAGATGTTCCAACGGTCCTGGAACCAACAGAACAATCAACACGTTTCCATGGTGACGGACAAAGCCTGTCCTAAAGTGTTTGGGTGATATCACGATTGACAGGTGGCATCATGATGAGTCGTTGACTGGGGAGTGTGTTACAGCAGTTGTTTATTGCTCTTTACAAAGAACGTGTCTCAAGTTCAAGTTCAAGTTGTGTTTATTTGTCATATGCAAGTTTAACACAAGGTTAACAGTACAATGAAATGCTTACGATGAGAAGAACCGATTGACAGCCGTCTCACCTGGAAGTAGCCGAACGCACCAAGAGTCATGAGTTTCAGGAGAAGCTCCAATGTGAAGATGGCCAGAAACACCTACAAACGAGGTCAGAGGTCAGGTTAAATTGTACTTCAGACATATGACCAGAGCAGGTGAGCCTATCGACAGATCTGTCTCATTATGGCATCACCATGTGATGAAAGCCGATCTAAACATCTGGACTCATCTTCATCACTGACCAGATTTGTGTTGGACAGCAGGTTGTAGGTTTCCTCCATCATTGGATAATGTTCTGTGGCCATGAATATGATGTTGAGGATGATGGAAAGGATAATCCCCAGATCAAAGAGCCAGCTCGTGACAAAGGGGTGGAGCCTCTCTTTGAGCCGCCGCCAGCAGCCACAACAGTCACCTTTCAGGATGTTGTGAGCAAAGGCACAGCGAGGGGGTCGAAGGTCATCCTCATGTTCTGAAACACAATGTTCAGTGAGACACCTGACCAGTGTGAAGCTAAAGGTTCCTGTGGCGGGGCGGTCTTCATATGGACACGTACCTTCCATGGTGACGTGTTCCACCTCCTGGCTCTGTGCGGTCAGTGTTTTCTTTTGCGGTGACTCCTGTTCGTCCAGAAGCTCCGCCCTCCCAGAGGCCTGCCACCCAATGAAAACACAGATGGAGAAGAATACAGAAAACTGAAAAAACTGAACAGAAGAAGGACCATACCTGTAGCTTCTTACTATAGGCCTCTTATTTTATGTTGACTCACTCTGCCAAAACAGCTGAGTCATATTTTGTAGGCTCCTTAAAATAACTTTAAAACTTTTTACATTTTTCTTATTGAAGTTGTCTAAAAATGGTCCAAGTTATGGAAAACATCTTTAGATGCAACACGTTTAGCTTCCATCCAGGTGGGATGTGGGAGAGGAGACAGGGGGAGTGGTGGCGCAGAGGCTAGAGAAGGTGAGCTTGTGATCGGAAGATCGTCGGTTCAACCCCCAGTACCGACAACATCAAAAATTTGGGTATGGTAGGTGAAGCACCCACACCTGCTCCCACCCTCATTCGCCCTCCCTGGGCCCATGAGCAAGGCCCCTAACCCCCATTTGCTCCCCAAAACAGGTCTCTTTTGAAAATGAGTTATCGTGGCTCAGTGAGACTACCCTTTATAAATAAAGGGTAAATGAAAAAAAAATCCAGGTGAACCCACCTGTTCCTCCACCTCCTCCCCCTTCTTTAGCACCTTCACAATCCGATTGTATTCTTCTTCTTGCTGTTGGGCCTCAGCAGACTCCGCCTTTTTCTGCTCTGCCAGCGCCATGGCAACCACCGCCACAATGAGGCTGAGCACCAGGAAACATCCGGGGAAGAAGGCCAGGACAAAGACGCTCACAGAGGTTTTACCTGCTCCTTGCATCGTCTGAAGACAGACAGGTGGAACAGAAAGACAGGTAAGAAGGACAGGTGAGACAGACTGTTCAGTTAAGTGACACAGATAGAAATACAGGTAGAACAAACAGACGGGTGAGACAGAAAGAAAGGGAAAAAGGACAAGTGAGACAGACTGTTCAGATAAGTGAGACAGATAGACATTCAGGTGGGACAGACAGATGAGACACAAAACTGAAACAGACTGTTGAGACAGGCAGACAAGACAGATGGGTGAGAAAGACATGTGAGAGAGGTGAGAAAGAGGAACGAGACAGACAAAATGCCTGAGACATATGAGACCAGAATGCATGACAGACAGGTGAGACAAACAAATAAAAGGAAGGTGAGGCAGATGTGGCAGACAGGCAGGTGAGACAGGTGTGTACATTAAAACCATATTGTGTATTGAAACCAGTTGGGTTCTGACCAGTTTCAGCAGGTTTTCCCAGAAGTCCTGCATCATGATGCTAATCAGAGCCAGCAGAGACCAACCAAACGAGTCAAAGTTGGTGAATCCATAGTTAGGGTTTCTTCCGGTCTTCAGACAGATCATTCCCGTTGGACAGGCCCTGAACACATCACGTGCTGTTATTGTTGTTGTTGTTGTTTTAGAAAACACATGCTGTCTTGTTTACATACACAGAATCCGACGAGTTCCCACACACCAGAGGATCAACATAATCAGGCAGGTAATAAAAGTTTTCTGTCAGGGAGACACGTTCAGTTCATTTTACAGATATAACATCATATGTGAAAACATCTGGACACTCATTCAAACCTCACACTGACACAGTTTAACCCTTTAAACAAACAGGATGAACATCTGGACACTTATTCAAACACCTAAAGCCTCACACTGACACAGTTTAACCCTTTAAACAAACAGATATTATCACTGTACTCCAATCATGGATGTAGTCAGAGAAGTTGACGTGTCCATCAGGGAAGCTGCTCGTGAAGTTGTCCAGGACCAGAGGTGATATAGTGGTCATGTTGTCTGCTGTTTCAGCATGGGTTGACCAAGACAGGCATTTATTTCTGAGGACTCCCATGAAGAAATGAAGCCCAATCAGAGCTAAAATACTGAGGAAGAACGCGGCCAGGATGATGACATCGGCAAGCCTCTTCACTAATTGGATTAAAGCTTCAGTGGTCTTCTTCAGGTCTGAGGAGGCAGAAAACAGACGATGAGCAGTCAGCTGTTTCTGACATCTTCACAAAGAACAACACACACCTGCAGGTAATAAACAATAACACACACCTACTGGTAAT